AGCGTCGCGCAAATATTTTCAAAGCACAAATTTATAGGTTTCAGGTTACGGCGAGTCTGAAACTTTGCTTTAAAACAATTGCAAACTTTTTCTAAGGGGTTTTTGAAGCCTGGGTCTCTGGAAATCCGGATATAGTGGTTTTGATTTGTTGTGGAAGCGTTAGTGAAGTATAGTGGTGAAAACGAAGTCAGAATCAGAATGGTTATGATAGAAAAAATGCAGAATTTAACGAGCTTCGGATTGAAATACAGTGGATTTTTTACAAAGTATACCATCAAGCAATTATATTCTGAATAGTATATGACTGTCCGAGTTTTATTTACTGTTGTTCTCAAAGCTATTAAACCACGTGTATTTTCAGTTTTTGTCCGCGAAGATAATAGCCACAACAAATCTGAAAACGAATTTGCTCGGCTCAAGGAGTTTCCAATCCGATTCGCGGCAAACAAAGATTCTGTTAAAGTTTCTGAGATCCAGGTTTCTGGAAAACTAAAACCCTACAAAACTAAATCTCCGAACTCGAATGATAATCTTCTTGTAACAGCTTCATCGTATACAGAAAATATTTCTGAGCAAATCAAGATATCTCTGAGGTCTCTACAACACTGCGTCATCAAACAGCATTCAATTTAAGAAAGGCCCCATATCACATTGATGACCGGTGACGAGAAAACTCGTCGTACACACATGTACGACACATTTACCGGTCATCAATGTGGTATCATCCAAATTAGCGAAATTAATCAGAGAACACGAAAAATGTCTCTTTCATCTTTTCACCAATAAGTCTAGTAAACTTACAATTTGAAAGAATATATTATAACTCATTCGGTAGCCCTTTCAATTCTGCATTTTTCTATATACAAACTACGCCTAATCTCTGTCTAGATGAAACTATAATCATTTTTATGCGCCATTATAGGAATAGATCGTGATACCTGTCAAGTATTTGTCCAATACATCTATGAAGACATTAGTTTGAAAAGGTGTGCTACATATCATTTTAAAGCCCGTTTAATTACGCATGTTTTCGTATATAAGATTCTGTTAAGAACGTCAGGCTTTTAGAGAAAAATGAATAAATATGGTCGAACAGACTTTCTGAATCGTTGCTTAGAAATGATTAAAAACTTCAGCCAGTTAGTCTACAATGAACTTTTAAGGCGCAGAAAAATTACAACTTAAATAACGAATGGTTTCTGATCAGTTCCAGTCGTTATCTTCTCAAAAATATATAGAGCGGTTTTCTTGCAGAAACCGTACGTTGTCCTTTGCTATATTCAAGTGATCACGTGCCAATATTGATAATTGATTGGTTGTAGCGATAGCATTGTCATAATTACTAATAGCTTTTTGATAGTCACTTAGTAAATGATGAATAAGTGCCAGGTTATTATAGGAATTTGCTACATGAACGTGCAAACGATCATAATATTTTATTAAAAGATTTTGTCCTTCCTGACCATATTACAGTGCAATTCGATAATTTTTTAGTTTCATTTGTTCTAAAGCTGCCTTATTTACTTCATATATCCTTTTTATCCATTACTTCCATCTCTTGATCAACTGGATAATCATTGGTAGTATCAAGGGTGGAGTACTCACGGTAAACGTTCCATACCGAGATGAAGATCGTCTTCAAGTATATTACACTTTTTACTTTCGTGTTTAATTTGAAATCGACTTTTCCCATTTTTTGACAATAAAAAATTCTTTATTCTGATTAAATAAGACTTTATCTAAGGGCACGTAAAGTGTTCATACATTTGTATACTGCTTTTATAGGATATGTGCATGTAAATCCTTCTCAACTGCTACATCATCCTCTGGTTCGTAGAAGCAGTTTTGTAGACCTTCTGGTACTTCCGAGCCCTCTGCTTCGTTATCTAAATCGCTACCATCGTCGTCTAAGTCTTTATCGAAATCTTCGATGCATTTGTATCAATGTTTTGGTTGGTTAGAATCAACTGCAGAAAGAGCAGAAAGTCGATGACTTTATTAATTTATCAATAAAAACAAAGACCTAGGTAATGGGAAAGAACGTTTCTCTACTTTTTACTCATCTGCATCACGCGAGATAGACGATCTGAAGATAGAGTTCTGGTTTTGTCCGTTACCATCCATTGTTTCTGTAGATACTGAACTTTATTATTAATTTAATCTTGAAATAGGAGAATTAAAGGTATTCTTTACGTATCCAAAGTGATTCTCTTCTATCCATTCTAACAATACTATTCCGCGTTTATCATTTTCAGGACTACCTCACTCCATCACAGTCGCATTAAAATTGCCAGTAATGTTCGTATTCTTTGTAATAAAAGATTTCAGGTCGTCCAAATTTCTTGATTGTCTTTGAGGTTCACTTGAAATGCAATATCTCAAGAACGAAATATTCTTTTTGGCTCAAACTTTCAGGATATTCTATAGGCTAGTAGATCTACCTATGGGCAAAACGTCCGGTCAAAATGCCCTAATTTGATTTTTTGAAAATTGGTAAAAATTCAAGAGATTTTGTTCTGTATCCCACGGGAAGACCACAAAAATCTGAAAATTTCAGGGTTTATAGAGTAGACAGTAGGCTACAATATGACTAAATTGAAACTGAGAATATACCTACTTACAGGAACCAGTCATCAGTTTTCCAGAAATCTTCGGGAACCCTCTGGAAAACTTTTCAACTATTTTGATTGTCATACTGACTTATGTCCCAGGCAAAGAGCTATTCCAGTTGCCCATTCTCCTGATGAGACCGTCTTTTGGTTATTCGCTGTCGAAACAATACAAACAACAACTAGGAGCACTTATTGATTTCTATTTTCGACATCGGCATTTGGTGAAGGGCGAATTGCCAACGAAATATCTGCAAGGTATCATTAATAAAATATTAAACTATGATTGTGATATTGTTTTTGTCATTCGACTCAACTTTTGGCCGAAGGATTTACAGCCATTTCTCAAACGATTTCAACAAAGTAAACTTGCCAAAAGATTCCATCAAGAACTGAAACCAAATAATTGTATGAAGTACGAAAGCTGGACTCTTGGGAAGGAAGTCGAAATGACATTTCTGCATTTGGTACCCAAGTGGTCTGCGAACACACCGCTAGAGGATCAAGAGTATGAGTTTAGATATTCATTTTCGGCTATCGAACATCGGATAGCCAAATCCCGATTATACTCAGAAAAACTGCTTGCTAAAATCGCTCGAAACATTTACAATAAGTATTTAAAAGATAAATCCGACATATCGTCATACTTTGTTAAAACGAGTGTCCTGTGGATGTGTGAAACGACTGAGTTGGATGATGAACCTGACGTTTTGGCAACTCTATGGATTAGCCATGTTTGCTTTTACCTTAGCTGTACTTAGAAAAAATCCCTTCCTTTGTATACAATCGCTTAAAGATTTGGATGATTGCATTAATATGAGCGATTCGAAGGCAACTGTTTTTGATGAGAGACTTCATCAAATGGCAATATTTCGTGATTGGATTGTCCAGATGAAAATTTCGGATCTTTTATCAGCCTACAAAGATTGGATTCAAGTGATACAGAAATTTGAACCAATCAACCAAGTACCTGATCCATTTCGTTGTGTGACTCTGTTATTTGCATTTGCCATTATGGACGGTCTGGACGGCAACAACAATGTGTCAGAATGGAAACGCTTGTTTATTGATCGCAATAATTCAGAAAAAGACGATGATTTCGTTCGAAATTGGTGCGAGCAACACGAGGAAATGTCGACGGAAACCGCTCTTATTGATAGTTTAATGATCTGCGGGGTGGGCCTTAAAACCGTGAATGACTATCTGAATCGGTTGTGTTCGTCAGCGATAGATGAATCTTTAGCAATAACGCAAAATAATAATTTCGGTTTGTTAATCAGAATTTGGGATGTCCTAATCACATGTAGATTGTTCTCATTAAGAAGAGGTTAGTACATGACAATAGTAGAGGTGGCGTGAGAAACTATCAGAGTAAATCTAGGTGTTCCACAGATAAAACTTCCTGCGACGATATAGCCGGTTTAACAATAAGTATACTGGAAATAAGCCCTATATTCAGGAACAGAAGGTTTACGGAAGGTCATTTATTGCGTAAAGCACAGCTATCGCTAACATGTATTCGTCCATTCATCTAGTCTTTTGGAGTTCAGTTGACGCATTTTTTTATAATTTCTATGAAGCATAAAACACATTCCAAAGTGTAGAAATGGATGTCGCATAGTGACAAAAGCTGAAGCGGTTTCTTCTGGACTTGGACTTTAAAATGTTTACTCCTAAATCGGTTGTCTCTAAAAAAAAGTTCATCAGCCGTACTTTTTCTTGAGAAAAAAACATTTCTTGCATGCTTAAAATTCACAAGTTAAAACAGCAAAAAGCTTTTATTCACTCCTGTATTTTCATCAAGTTCATTTTTCCACTCATCAGCACTAATATCTTAAAGGCTGCTCTTTTGGTTTCTTTAATGATATTAGGCGAACTCATGGGTGCAGTTGGTAACACAATGAAAGAGCTGTTAGAAAAGCCACATATAACGGCTCTTATGTCATCTGTTGCTGCAACACGAACCAAAGAAAAAGAAAAGGAAGAAGCAATAGACAAAGCAATAAGAGATGGTTATCAAGAAGAAGAACGACAATATCTAGATGGTTCAATACTTGTAGCAGCCATTCAGGAATCTTTAGAACAAGGACATGAAGAACATTAGTAGACGCTTACAGCAAATAAATAGCGCTTCTTGTCACATTTTTTATAAAAAAAAGACACTATAAAAATGCTTTTCCTGTGAGAGAGGAAGGCCTTTTACACCCCTTTGTTTGAGAAAACTGAAAGCGTGGTTTGTTTGGTGATGTTCTATGCGAATGCGCTTTTACTCCTTTTATTTTTGCTGCTTCTTTTTTCCAGATATAGAATTGAAAGCAAGAACACTAAACTTTTGTGAAACATTTCTTTTTGCTGAGCGCGAATCTTCTAAAAGGACACTGTGATCTTCTGTGTTCGGCCACAAACGATCGTCGTAAACGATTTTCTTTACTAAACAGAAAATCGTATTTATTTCGGCGGCATTAATTTTTCTAAGATGGCGCTTTAAGAGAAAATGTAGAGAATGAAATTCTGCATAAAACTGGAAATCCTTAGAATCCTTTTTGGTGTTTTTAACTACGCATCAGAGTTATCTGCGATTCATTCAAGGAAAAAGTTCAACTTCCTTTGCTAAACAGAAAATCGTGCTTATCTCAGTTGGGACGCATTTTTCTGAGGTGCTGTCTGTGAGAGAAAATGTGGGGAATGAAAATCCTTAGAGGACAGTCGATTTACCTGAAAACGTGTCGTTTTCGAGATAAATCGTTTTAATATCGCTCTTCAAAAGTATATGAGTGTTAGTTCTGCTAAAACAACTCGATAATATGAACTGGAGTATTACTGTAAAATTTGATCTGTTCGCAGTTGTTTTTGTAGAAATAGCACTGATACTTTTGGAGAAAAACATCAAAAAGATTTATCTCAAAAACGACACGTTTTCTGGTAAATCGACTGCCTTCTTAGGATTTGCAGTTGTATGCAAAAATTCATTCAGAAAAATGCTTCCCGACTGACGAGGAAAGATCACCAACTGCCACCTCGCTTTTTAGCTCTAAGCTAGTGGGTAATAGGTAAAAAAATGTGCTGAATCCGAATATGACAACCGTTTGGGCTCTTAGGCCTTCTAAGACCTGGTTTTTGAAAAACCGGTTTTCCAGAGAAAAACTTTTTTTCGAGAAAAAATTTTCTGATCTGTCCAGATTGTAGAGCGTATCGAGAAACCTAGAAAAAACATGTTTTCTAAATTTTGGTAAGGGTTTTGAAATGTTTTTAGAGGACAAAACTTTTCTTACAGGAAAACATTACACTCATTGAGTTTTTCATCCTCTTGACTGAAAGTCGCTTTTTTTCCTCGATTCCGCACTCCTTCCTCTTCGCTTCATCTCCCTCTTACCCCCTTCTTTACGTTTAGACACTTCTTGAATTTTAAATGTGCTTCTGTGCTCTTAAACACTTTTTGTTT